ACGTGTATGTGTGAAAGCTTGGATGCCTATGTGTGAGAAAAAGAGAGAAGACCTGTGTGTTTGCATGCCCACCCATGTACTTGAACTATCCGTTCAGCCTCCAGCTGTGTCTGTCATTGTATGCTGAACCTTCCATCAATTTCCATCATGAGGAATGCAGTGAGCTCCTTCTAATGCTGAACCAAATAAGAACAGTGTATTGCTTTTTAAACAGGAATGAATTGCTTTTCAGAAGTATCTTTCCAAACTTTTTCAAATGCTTTTCTTCTGCTTTCTTTTTTTGCATTAACAAGGATCAGATACCCATATGAATAATGCACAAGAGGCTCAAATACCATTTAAGCTTCCTATCGGAAAGTGTCCCAGGAAGCAGCCCTGATGGGTTTTTTTTGGTTTGGTTTCTTTTCATACTTAGAAGAAGACCATGAGCCCAGACTCCATGAGGCTGTAATCTGTACAGGATTAGAACTTAATAATGAATAATCACCTGTCTCTCATCCTGCTTTTTTCTTGGGGTGTGCCAAAGTGTGCCTATAAGGTTACCTACAATACATGGCTTTCTTAGTGCTGGCACCCAGCTATGATACTGCCACTTATTAAAAATCCAGTTCTCCCACATGCTTTCGTCTTTCAGGAGCCAATTAAAAACATGTTCAGTTTGTCTTTGTTACTACTTCTGTTATACTTTAGCAGAAACATATATAGTTGCAGTATTAAATATTTTTAATTTGCTGTTTTAACTGTGCTTTTAACTGTAGATTGTTAGAAACCTGGAGCTATTAAAAGGAAGGTCAAGGTATTAATCAAAATGTCACTTCTTGCTGTCTCTTTTGTTGCACCAGCGATCTCTGTACTTGACTAGCAACCCAGAGTCAGTCTTGCCCTCAACTTGCACTCCCGCAGCTAGAGTCCTCTAGCTTCCTGTTTGTTTGTGCATATATTTCTGCCTGATAATAGGCATTATGGGAAGCTGAGAAGTGAAAGTTATTGTGTACAAGATAGAATTTTCAAAGGCATGTATGGATTATGAAGGCTCAGAGGGGAACAATGATAGGAAAGGCCCATTCCCCCAGGCTTTTGAGGATCTTTCAGCTGCTCCTTTTCGAAGCTACCATGGTACGCACCCCAGCTTTCTTTTTGAATACACAGCTGTACATCCTGGCTTAACATTCTTGCCTTCCCTTATTTCCAGCAGTGCAAGCAGCTGAGAACAGTCTGATTAGCCCTCCCAGGGAATGGCCAAGAAGATTTTTAATAAGCCTTAGGTGTTAGAGAAAGATACTACGGTCTGGTTTCAGCTTCCGTATGTCTTGTCTTCCATGTCTCTGTGTTATTGCCTTCTGTCACCCCAGTTCATGAGAAAGAAAGAAAGAAAGAAAGAAAGAAAGAAAGAAAGAAAGAAAGAAAGAAAGAAAGAAAGTGTTATTTGAATCAAACTGTTCAAAGTAAGATGTCACCCTATTTCAGCTCAGTTTTACTTTACATTGGATGATGCTGGTTCTCATGTATAGTTCTCTCTTGTATTTTTTAAACATAATAATTTTATTTATTTTTCACAATACAAAACAAAATACATGTATTTTTAACACATAAAACTTGCCTAATAAATGAAAACTATAATAGTGCACCCCTCACCATAAGGACCATTATATCATACATACTTTTCTTATAAACATAATCTCCCATCTCCTTTTATCTACCTCCAAAATCTTACTTGTGTTTATGGTGCTATGGTCTAGTTTCAAAAGCAAAGTAAGGTAAGGTCTGGTAAGTACTTGGATGGGTGACCAAGAGGGAATATCAAGGATCTCTAGGCTGTTTAGGGGAGAATCCTGTCTGAAACCCTGGAAAGCCATTGCTGACTGTCAGCCTTGACAATAATGGGCCAATAGTCTGACTCACTAGAAGGCGATTCCTGAGTTCCTAATACTTTTTGTCAGGAACCTGGTACAAATAGGTTTATATGAATGGATAAGGTCCTTGAGATGTCCTGATTTGGGACTTCTTAAAGTAAGGCCAGCACTTTGTATCGGTCCTGGAAAGTAGTGGTCTACTGGTGAAACTGGAGCAGCAAGGAAATAACATAGTGGTGCAATTACTGTGTATTAGTCGGGTGAGGAAACATCAACATATCACTCCCACTCTGGCCACCTTACACTGGCTGCCTGTTCGGTTCCGTGTTGATTTCAAAGTTTTAATGCTTACGTATAAAGCCCTAAACGGTTTAGGGCCTCAATATCTGGCAGAACACCTTCTCCCACCTAAATCTACTCGTATCACTCGATCTAGCCAGGAGGTGAGGTTGAGGAGCCTAACACCAAGGGAGGCACGGATGGAAAAAAACAAGAAACCAGGCCTTCTCGGCAGTGGCTCCTCACCTTTGGAATAACCTCCCTTCTGAGATCCATATGGCCCCTTCGCTGGGTATTTTCAAAGGTCAATTGAAAACCTGGCTGTTTAAGCAAGCCTTCCCTCCAGCCACCACTTGATTTACTTTATTCTTCCATCTTGAGTACCGTCTATTGATGTGTTACTTTGTTTTTATATTTTAAATTGTTTATATTATATTTTGTTAGCCGCCCAGAGTAGTCAGTTGACTAGATGGGCAGGGTATAAATTCAATAAATAAAATAAATAAATATCAGACGCTAGATAAGACTCCTGTGTTCTGAACTGATGTTTGCAGATATTTTCCCAGGGAATTCATACAGTCATATCGTCAAGGAGAGGCCCTTGGAATTAGAGTCTTTGAGGGACAGGTAGGAAGTCCATCAGGGTTAGGGTTTGCTTTCAGGCCACCAGTTGTTTATCTCTGTGCTATTTGTTCTCTGTAATGTTCTTGGATGGGTGACCACTGGCTTGGATGAGAGAGGGCAGGGAATATTTATCAGATTTGCAGTTGACACAAAATTGTGTGGAATACCTTGGAAGAAAGGAAAAATATTCAAAAAGATCTTGATAGACTTGAGCACTGGGTTGAACACAATAGAAAGAAATTTAACAGGATGAGTGCAAAATTCTACAGCTAGGGAAAAAATAAATGCACAGTTACAAGATGTGGGATATATGGCTCAGTAATACTAGAAGTGTGAAGGATTTTGGAATTGTTGTAGATCGCAAGCTGAATATGAGCCAACAATGTGAGGTTCCTGCAAAAAAGGCCAATGCTATTTTTGGTTGAGTTTACAGAAATATAGTCTCCAATCATGTGAGACACTAGTCCTCTCTATTTGGCATTGGTTATGCTTCATCTAAAGCAGTGGTCTCCAGCCTTTTCTGAGTCTCAGACCAGTTGGGGTGGGTGGAGGGGAGGGGGCGTGCTTGCGGAGGGGAGGTACATGTTCCCACTCATGCGTGGAGTGCGCGTGCACATGCACAAAGAGGCGGGGTGCACTCACAGAGGGGAAGGGTGTGCTCACAGGTGGGAGGGGCATCCGTGTGTGTGGGTGGTGAGCTGTGCATGCAGGTGGGGTGGGGGGGGAGTGTGTGCATGCAGAGGTGGTGGGAGATCTGTCTCTGCAGCCCAGTACTGCCATGGCCTTGGACTGGGGGTTGGGGACCCCTGATTTAGAGTACTGTATCTAGCTCTGGACACTGCATTTCAAGAAAAATGTTAATAAGCTGAAGCAAGTTCAGAGGAGAACAAGGATGATCAGGGGACTGGAAACCAAGGACTGTGATGAAAGATTGAAAGAACTGGGCATGTTGAGCCTTAAGAAAAGAAGACTGAGGGTCATGTCCTCTATCCCTTGTTATAGCATTTTTCAAATCTTTGAAAGGTTGTTATATAGAGGAGGGGCAGGATCTGTTCTAGATTATCCCAGAGTGTAGGACACATAATAATGGTCTCAAGCTACAGGAAACCAGATTTAGGCTGAATAGCAGGACTTCTTAACTGTTAGAGCAGTGCAACAGTGTAATCAATGACCTCGGGAGGTGGTGAGTGCTCCAATTTTGGAGGTATTCAAGAGAAAATTGGACAATGATCTGTTATAACTGCTTTGGGTTGGATGCCTGCATGGATCAGGGGGTTGGATTCGATGGCCTTATAGGTCCCTTCCAACTCCATTATTCCATTATTCTCTGGCTCATATCCAAGAAAACAGAATATACTGTATTTTCCTGTGTATAAGACGCCTCCATGTATAAGACACCCCCTCATTTTTCTAACCCAAAATTTTTCTAACCCAAAATTTCTTTCTTCGCAAGAATTTGGATTGGGAAGGCAGGGATCAACACAAGTGTCAAAATCTAAGACAGGAAATGCACTTCATGCTACTGTGCTCAGTGCTGGGCTCCTTTTTCTCTGATTCCTGCATATTGGTCATTCAGAAGCTCTCTTCCAACAGTTTGTAATCTTGTTAGCCCCCTTGCTCTGCATTTTATTTTCTCTCAGTGGCAAGAAATGCATTGAGGTAGGACCACCAGGTGATTTGGGTCCCCTATCCCTTTGCCAGACAAAGCAAGTAAAGGCCAAGAAAGAAAGAAGTTTCAATAGAGTTTCCAGATTGGTTCTAGCTGGCTTTGCAGTGCTTCTCTTTCATCTTATCTCTATCCTAAAAGGAATGGATTATAGAGAGCAGTGCTTTTTTCTATCTTGCAATATTGGTGCCTGCTTTCCTAAAGCATATAGGGTGTCCATGCTGAATCTCTGAAGGACCCACATGCTGATCGGCTGCCCCATACTGTTGCCAAAGCCCCTTCCTCAAGCTGCTGCCTGAGATACACAGTGCTGCTTCCCCCTTCCCCACTCATGCTGAATGTGCTTGGTCTCCGGCTTATTATTAACATGCGTGCAGCGATTCTTCTTTTCTATTACTTCCCTACCAGCAAAGCCTCTGGGTAGAGTGACGAGGAAGAAGTGATACACTGAAAGGGATTTTGTGCCATTCGGTCTGTGTGAACAGTGTCAGCTTCTGAATCCCTCATTTCCCTTGTTGGTTTCAAACACCTCTCCCACTTTCTGCATCACTCCTCATTCTCTCCCTCTCCTTTGGCAGGATGGTGGAATATTCTTTGGATCTCCAAAATATCAACTTGTCTGCAATCCGTACTGTACGAGTTCTGAGACCTCTCAAAGCCATCAACCGTGTGCCTAGTAAGTCTGTCTGCCTTCCTTCTTTGTTGCACCTTGCAAATGTAAGCACACCCACACAGACTGGCTCATGTGTGCACATACTGTATGCTTGTCTTCAGACAGATTTGAAGGGGATAGAATTGAGGAGAAGGTACCGCTTCTTTGTCTAGCATCTGCAGTCCCTATCAGGCATGCAGAACATGAACCCAGTCCATGCCAACCTGTCCCGTGCATCTGTGCTGCTGTTCAGGGGAATAAGAAGCTGTGTACATAGGTGACAAAATCCATGAAAGGGAAAACCAATGTCTGCAACAAAAACGTTGTGCTAAACATATATTGTAATGACCACTCAGTGGTAACACTAAGTCGGGCAGGATATAAGTGTCAATACTAAATAAATATAAATAAACATCTGATGTGGAGCTAAAAAAGCTTTCTACAAATGTGCACTAGTGGAATCTAGATGCTGGCCAGTCCCATAGGTTTCTATGAGATTTTATGCCCTTTTTTACTTCCCCCTCCTAGGATTTCCAGCAAAATGTCCTCTGTTTCATCCAGTGAAATCCTCTGTGTATTTCCTTAGATACCATGCAGGAATTGATGCCATTCATCACAGGATTCCTTATCAGAACCTGGACAAATCTTACCTCCAACTTCCTGATCAAAATTAAGTTGTCCTGTGTCATTTGTGTCTGAAGCATTATCCTCTGCAAGATTACTGTATCACTTTGCTGATTTTATCAATTTTAGCTTGTTACACCGGTCAGCTTCAAATGGTTGTGTGCAATTCCATGCAGTGACCAACACAATCATTGAAACTGACCAGTGCAAGAGCCTGGAATGAGCGGTGCAGGACTGTCAAATCTAATGTTGCATCAGAAACTGTGGAGAAAGGCAGCAGAGGGGGAGAATTCTCAGGTTTTCTCTCTGCTGCTGGTCCATGAAATGTCATGGTCTCTGTAGGGGTCTTGGAAGAATTCACTACCAAGGCAAAATGTCAGAAATTGCTGGGATCAAAAAAAATTGCCAGATACTAGTTAAACCTCTATAACAGCATCCCTCAAACAAGATGATGTCTCCTGTTGGCATTAAGAAAGAACCATTAAGAACCCCACACAGGCAATTAAAACTGAGGCTCGACTTGACTGGGCACCTTAAGGAAGGGGTTTACAGCATCAGCATTCACTGTTGGGTCTATGTTATCTAGTGAGAGCAGGACCATTAAAAGAAGGTCTATTCCATTAATAATATGCACACGTCCAGGAGAGAATAGTCATGTTAATCTGGATTTTTGTCAGGGCCCTGGAAAGCATATTGCAGAAATATTCACCATAACATCCCCCTATGTTGAGATATGTTATCCCTGCAAAAGAGGCCTTTAGAAGTCTGGGTGATTCATCTCTTTGATCAGATCTGTCTCTACTGGTTGTTGATTGTAACCCTGAAAGAGCCCAGTTATTTTTATCGCCTCTGAGGGACAGGAGAACCTATGCAATAGGCATCTTCAGAGTCTGTGGTGTGTTGGGGAAGGGGTACATCTTCTGGTCTGGAAGATATATGACCGGTGCCAAGGGTTCTCCATGTCATTTAATGCTGAAAGGAAAAGCTTACAAGCTTACAAGTCAAGGAGACTTGTTAAAATCAAGCTGAAGAAAAAAAAGTTTTCTCAGGGCACTTGCAAGTGGTTTAAAACTATGAAAGCAGAAGGTCAGAAAGAATGATATGGCACAAATGAGGAGAGATACAAACAACTTCAAGAAGATCTAAAAAGGCAAGTAGGCTTCCTTTAAAATTTGGAAACACTGACCAAATTCAGTGGGCCTTCTCTAATATGACTTACTACTGGATTTAAACCAAAGTGTTCATAAATGGCATATAGTCACATAGAAGTAAAAAAAAATTAAGAGGTCAGGTCTGTGTATAATACATTATCCAGAATGGCAAATGCCTAAAACAATGGCAAAACATTCCAATTAAGGGCTAACCAAACGGGCTTTTGTCCTGCTATTGGCCTTCACTGATCCTTGTTGGTGTTTTTCTGTTGACCGGAGAACAAATTTGCTCATACCAATAGATGCAATTTTTATCTAGTACCCTTTATTCAGCATGTGGTACTTTTTTGTTTTGTTTTTGTGGTTCCAGTTGTGCTTATTTCACATTCAAATAGAATGGTACAATTATGTTTTCCAAAATTAGATGTGACACCTCCTGTCGGCCATGGCGTGAGAGTATCTAGCCCCTTCTATCCTAGCTCCCTCCAGTTTCCATGGAAAGTACAATAACAATAATTTTTCATGTTCTGATTTGTTTATATTTTGCATACTTTTTAATACTACATCCATTAGAGAATAAAGTGACTAGGTTTCAGTGTCATTCTCCCAGATTTACAGGTTGGGCTGAACAGAGTCCTGTTTCAAAGCCTGGTGAGTTGTTGCTGGTTAGAAATGAAGACAGTGCTGAGGCTGATGGACCAGTGATCTGTCTTGGTACAAGACCGTTTTGTGTGTTCCGAGCTAAAAGGCAATGAGAAGAATTTATGGCATTTTGTATAAGTGTACTGCCCTCAAAACTCCAGGGACCCCTAGGATTTCAATAGACAGTTGCCCTTTTGATGAACTCCATTTCATACTGTTGTCCTGCTGTGGTTTAATAAACAAATATGTTAGGCACACATCTATAAAGAATGTTAATGGTCATACTGGAGATGAGTGGAAATTTTTTACCATTCTCTTTAATACGATAATGTTGGATTTTTATAACTATAAAAAGTTTAAGCATCATCTAAGCATTGGTAATAATGAACCATGTTATAAGTTTAATTTGAACTCTTGCTCTCTATAGAGAGATGTCTTTTGAACCTCCGATGAAAAGAAAGTTTTATACTTTAAAAATAATATGAACTAACAGTACCAGAAAAATCTTGATTGAAGTGCTTTTTAGTTATTATCTGTTTATATATAAATTGATATTATTTATATTCATCAGTGAATTTAGAAAACATTGGAGCCCTATGGTAGAGCTAGGGCAGAACCCCCCGGCCAAGTCAAATGAATTAAATGCCAAATAGAAACATTATTTCGGAAACTCTGAGCAACAAGTATTTGGTATGCATAAGAAAATCACTTTATAGCTGTAAATTAATGCCTTCAGGAAACAACTAAATATTTCCAGCTCTTCTTCTGTACCCTGGACTTGGTTGGCAGCCCTTGAAGAAACTAGACTATTTTTATTGGTTTAATTCTCTGTTGTAATAATAACTGGATTTAGAAAAAAAAAATTCTCTGGGAAGGTCTTATTCAATAGTTTGTTAAGAAACATCTTCCCTGTTTTGATAGTTCTACTCATTGGTTTCCACCATGGCCTTCCAGCTCCTGACCATTCTGGAATTTTGGATAATACTATAGTGGTAAAAGCCATGGCTTGCGGCAGAAGGTCCTCTCCATCTCATTAAAGAGACCAGCAGGTAACAGAAAAGGCCTCTGTCAGAAACCCCAGAGAAGTGACTCTAGCCAGAATAATGGGGCTAGACCAAGGATGCACTTCATTACCTGTTGCCCATAAAGCTGTTTTTGTGAGCCTCAGGCTCACTCCCAGACTCCCTGGCTTCCCCAGACACCTCCCACACAAAAAAGAAAAGAGAAAGAAAGAAATTTCTAGGGAAAAATAATTTGTCATGATTCACCCTCTCAACAGGTCACAAGGTTGCCTGACAAAAATTAGCCATTTTCAAAGGCAGAAGGGACTTTTGATTACTTCCAGTTTCCTTTTCTTCATTCTGTGGCATATTTTAATGGCTTTTGCAACTCCCGGAAGATTATGAGTCAGAAAAATACTGGCTGTCCGGAGCCTGCAGAATTGCCCACCTTGTTCTAGATGGTCAGTAGACTGAGCTTTCCATCCCTATACAGTTTGTTCCATTTTATAAGATATCTACATGGAAAAATAAGACAAGTTTGTCATAAATAAACACAGGATGTAATAGTGAAAATTAAGTTGTGAATAGCAGTATGAAGTGTTTGCTAATTAAGAGCAAAGAGATTTCACTGGTGAGTGAGGAAGTGGATTTTCAATGAAATCCAGTATTAGTACTGTAGGACTTGTGAACTAGACTATTTTTCTGATTAGAAATTTGTATTCACGAAGGCTTTCACAGCCGGGATCTAATGGTTGTTGTGGGTTTTTCGGGCTCTTTGGCCGTGCTCTGAAGGTTGTTCTTCCTAACGTTTTGCCAGTCTCTGTGGTCGGCATCTTCAGAAGACAGCACTCTGTGCTCCATGATAGGATTTTAAGCCAGTATGTTATTGACCATTGTATTTCTAGTTTCTTTCCTAATTATCCCCAACATAGAATTTGCCTTTTGCACAGCAGCTCTAACATTGGGTTGACATTTTCATAAAACAGTTCACCACAACCTCAAGGTCACCTCCTGGTCAGTGACTGCCAACTCACGTTCCGTCACAGTGACTATGAAGTTAGGATTTTTGCCCAGTGTGGGTCATATTATACTTGCTTGTATTGAACCTCATTCTCCATTTTAATGCCAGCTCTCTCACTTTGGAGAGACCCATCTGGACCTCTTCACAATCCATTTTTGTTCTAGCCACTCTAATTAATTTGATATCATCTGCAAATCTGAGTATTTCATTGCTCATCCCCAATTCCACATCACTTTGGAACAAATGGAAAAGCACTGGTGGCAATATATACCTTTTCCTGATATACCTGTACCTCACAAATTGCTGTGAGGATAAAATTGTGGGAAACCCTGTGTGCTACTCCTAAATCCCTTGAATGAAGAACCAGAGACAGAAAAATAATACGTGAATTACAGTTGCAATCAATGTCTTGTAGATATGCCTGATGAAATCCATCCTTGTGAACTGAAAGGAACATCCAATATGTCTCACTTTATACTTGCTTTCAATGCATCTCATGTTGCATTGTAAAATATTTTCCCCAGGCTTCAAGATATGAAGAGAGTTAAAGCAAACATAGTTACAGTGTCTAATCGACAGAGGGAA